CCATTATCACCCTGGGATGGATCCCATCCAGTCCTATAGATTTGTGAGGATCCAAGTGGCTAAGCAGGTCTGAACCTTGTTACTGACCTCAAGCTCTGCAGAGTCAAGAGCCTCTCTGCCATACAGAGCTACCCCTCCTACACTGCCTGTCCCTTCTGAAGAGCTTGTAACCATCCATGGCAGCACTCCAGTCGTACGAGTCATCCCACCACATTTCTGTGATGGCGACTACATCAGAGCTTTCCTTCTGCACAATGGCCTCCAGCTCCTTGTGTTTGCTCCCCATACTGCGTGCATTAGTGTACATGCACTTCAGCTGGGATGATGATTTAGCTCCTAACTCTGGCTTCACCCCACAGGCTCATCTCTGGAAAGCCTGGTTTCAAGCCCATCCCCCTTCGAACCTAGTTTAAAGCCCTCCTGATCAGCCCTGCCAACTTATGGGCTGTAGTTCTTTTGCCCCTGATAGAGAGATGAAGCCCATCTGACTCGAGCAGGCTTGGCAACACAGAATTCGCCCCATGGTCATAAAAGCCGAAATTCTGCCGGTAGCACCAACCTTTAGCCACATATTCTTTCCTCCACAGTAAAAGGGTTAAGAATTGCAATACAGTGCCACAGTCAGAGCTTTGACTGAAAGGGGTAAGGTTCAGAAACTTCAGCTGAAATCGATACGATTCTAGAACTGACTAGTGTATGCATCAAAGTGTTACCATCACATAATCTAGACTAGCAAGAAAACAATCAGCTGTTACTCCTCAGAGTGCAGTTGTGCTATGTATGTGTATCCCCATTCAAAGTTTCATGCAGTGTGGTCAAGGATAGTAGTCTTCTCCTTGCTGAGCAGATTATTCCTTTGGTACGTGATCCTGGAGCTCCTTGCAGTAATGTGCAACTGTCATTTGTAACATCAGAAATCCTGGCGAGGTGAAACAGTTTACTGATCTGTTTTCCTGTGCATGTATAGAGTAAGGCGCAGCTTTTTAAGCCGTGTCCCGCATAGCATGATTAGCCGCACATCTCTGACATATGACTCAGAGATACTGGGCAAAGTCTTGTCTCCTATTACTAGAAAATGTGAAAGTGATAGGGAGTACATTACGTGAAAGGATTCATGCTGCAAAGGAAAGCAAAAGCATAGCTTACTTCTGTCAGTGTGTTTGAGGGATAGAAACCACTGGTTTTCCAATCTGGTAATCAGTAAAGTGCTACGGATTACTTGAAAGCATTGACCTGCTGAGCTCTGTTTGGGATGACATGCTGTCCCTGACATTTTGGAGGAGGGGGGTTATGTGTGTATTGTGCAGAAGAACAGCAAGAGAACTGAGGGTTGTGTGTAAGCCCAGAAAATTAAACTAGTATACCCTTTCCACATCCCAGTGCCTTTTACCTCAGCTGTTAGCTGCGTGCTTGCCTGAAGTAAGAGGTGTTATAATCACTGTGTGAAGTCACAGCTGTGGTGTTTTCTAACAAGCTCTAAGCACTGCAGGCACACACTACAGATCTTAAGAGGTGAATAGTGTAGGAGGGACTTGAACCTTATTTCTGGGTAGGCAGGACAAAGAACTATTTCTTTTGGGGGAGTTTTCAAGTACAGAATTTCACAATTTTTTGAGATAAACCTGTGTCCTTAGGTTTACTGGCGTATCTTCTTGATAAGTGCTTTGTGTCATTCGAGGAGAGCTATTTACAACACTGTAGCAGCTTTAACCATGCTGTTTTACTGCACCAAGGACTGTAGATTAAGGACAAATTATCTGCTGGCATACACAGATTATGTGGTCATAAAACCCAGCAACAGCTAGAGAGTGTTGGATAAAGAAGCTTATTACGAGGCTGCAGTTGTAATGTCAGTGCTTATGGCTCTTAACCATGTTCATGTAAATGCTTTCCAGGAACAAAGAAAATTCATCTCCCTTAGAATCAAATGAAACACAAGATAAAAATAAACCGAAAAAGAGGAAGATTGCTGAAACCTCTAACGTTATCACAGAAACACTGCCATCTGCGGAATCAGAGCCTGTTGAAATTGAGGTTGAGGTTGCTGAAGGGACGATTGAAGTGGAAGATGATGGCACTGAAACACTTGAGATAGCATCTGCAGAGCAATCCATAAAGTACATACAGACAACAGGTACATCAGATGAATCTGCGTTGGCCCTTTTGGCAGATATCACCAGCAAGTATCGTCAGGGAGAGAGAAAATGCCAGATCAAGGAAGAAGGTGATAGTGCAACTGATCCTTCATGCAAACAGGTAGAAGGTATTGAAATTGTGGAACTACAGCTGTCACACATGAACAATTTATTCCACTGTGAGAAATGTAACCGTTCATTTAAATTGTTTTACCATTTTAAGGAACACATGAAAACACACTCTGCTGAGAGTTACAAGTGTGACATGTGCAATAAAAGATACCTGCGAGAGAGTGCTTTGAAACAGCACCTCACCTGTTACCACCTTGATGAAGGTGGTGCCAGCAAGAAGCAAAGACCTGGCAAGAAAATACATGTGTGCCAGTACTGTGATAAGCAGTTTGACCACTTTGGCCATTTTAAAGAGCACCTCCGGAAGCACACAGGTAAGAGCACTGCTGCAGTCCTGTGCATGTGGCCCTCACTTTGGGGTTTTGCATGTTTTGGGGAAATGGAGAATATGTTGCAGAAAACACAAGAGTCCTGAGTGCTAGAAATCCTTGGATTCTAGTTACAACTACAGTGATGGTGTGTTTTTTTGCTTGTTTGGAGGGGTTGTTTTGTTTTTATGGAGGTAAACTTCTGAGGGATTGAGTTTATTTAAAATAGGCACCTAAAACCAGAAAGTGCTAATGAGCCTTGTCTGTGAAGTGTACTAAATCTTAGAGATTTTTTTAAAAAAAAATTTCTTACGGCATGTTCCCTTATTCGAAAGTACCAAACTGAGGAGCTGCTTTAATTTTCAACAGTTCTCTAGTTTATCTCTTTTCCTCTAATTAATTCTGTAACAGTGTCCAATAGTGCAGCATTTTGTACCTACTGAAGGGAATGTTGCCACCATTGAACAGCTCTCTTCAGCTTTTAGGTGTATAAGTGAGAATTAGGCTACTTGTGGAATTCTTTTGGAAAGGTAATTATGAACTTCTGAATGTCTTTATTTCTGAAGGTTTGGTTTTATTGGCTTTCCACCTCAATAACACTAACTACTGGATTCCTGAAAATAGGCTTTTAAATTAGGTAGGATAGACTCTTAGAGTATTCACTGAAGTGGCTTAGCCTCTTTATGAGTTCATTAAACTGTTCCAGTAGTGATGTTGGTGTCAGTACCTCTGCAGATTAACTATCAGGCTTTCAGAAGAAACATGCTGTTCCAGTTGTTTGGAGTTTTTTTGTTATTTAATTTGCTTGAATTTCACTGTGTTTGAGCATGGTGGAATTAGTAAAGAGACACCTTTAGTTTACTACTACTTGATGACAGTATCTGACTTTGGATGATACAAACCTGTTTTCAGCTTGCCCTGCTGTTGTCGTTAGCTGACTTCAGTGATGCCATGTTTGGAATGAAGAGGCCATACTGAAAGGAATTTTTGTCTTGCTTGAGCCCATTTGTGTTCCTCTGTGCTTTCTCTTCACTGAATTTTTGGAGGGAGGGGGTGTAGATTTTTGTTTGTTTTAATATTGATGCATTGTTGTTTCATGGTCATTCTGTGCCAGCTTCTTTTTCTGGAGCTCAGTTTCAGCTCTCAAGCATAAGCTGTTACTGTTGCTGAAAATAAAACTTCATATTATTTAAATACTTCCTTCTTTAATGAGTCACTTTGTCTGCTTATTAATGTTGATTCTTTAGCTGTAAATATTATCAGAAGAAAAGAGAGAAATATCTTTAAGATATTTTGTCAGAACACTAATCTAATTTTCACAAAAACCAGAATGTACCTTAAGTAGTGCTGGTAATTGTTACATTGTTTTCTTTCTAAATGAGACTTACAACTCCACATTAGTTTTTTTGCCCTTTTGTTTACATAAATAAAGTTTACATAGAATATCCATCTCTTCTTCCTCAGATAACCCAGATGGCCACATCTTTACAGCATATTTATCAGCCTAGACAAGAGGGAGAGAAGAAAAGGGAGCTGACAGAGGACTGGGTGGTTTTGTACACTTACAAATCCCTGTGTCTGTTTTAACAGGTGAAAAACCATTTGAATGTCCAAACTGCCATGAGCGTTTTGCTAGGAATAGCACACTCAAATGTCACCTGACAGCCTGTCAGTCTGGAGCTGGAGCTAAAAAGGGAAGAAAGAAGCTGTATGAGTGTCAGGTGGGTAATGGCAGTGGCAGAGTCTGGGGTTAGGTACCTCCTTCAGGGGAGTGTGGGAGGACTGAACACCAAAAGAAGCAAGAGTGGGCTTGTGTCTCTTCTTTTTTAGTTCCATTTTAAATATGGAATTACTGAAGTGGAGCCTCATAATACTTATAATCAGAGAGATTGTTATGGGTGGGCAGTGCTCATCTGCATTTTACTGCTCTTCCTGCATCCTGTTCAAGGTTCTTGATGCACTACTACTACTAGTAGTAGACCTAGTAGACTCTTCCCACTTCTGAGCATGCTTCACTAAAGACCGAAATACAAAGTACTATCTTATTGCCTATTTCATTATTCTTCTGTTTGACATGAAACATTGACTTTGTCTGGAAAGTCATTCCAATTTACAGTGGTAATCTGTGATGTATTTTAAGCAAAATAAATGCTGCTGAGATTGTTGAGGCACTTGGTCACAAACTGACATTTGAAGAGCTGTTCAGAAAAATCTTACTTCACTTTTAAAAGCTGATTCTGAAGAGCTAGAAGATACAAGAGCTGAGGTTGACTGTAGCATCCTCATGTGCTGTGTTGCTCACTGCCGTGATAGTCTCACACACATTTCTTTTGCTCTCACACTCTTACACCACCTCTTATCTCTGCCTCTCTCATGCTCTCTCACATGCTTTTTCCATCCTCCCCACTCCTTCCATCCCTTCTCCCCACCCTTCCCCTTAAGGTCCCCCCATTTCTACCTTCTCTTTTTCCTGCCCTCTTGCTGTTTTCTCCTCTTGCTATTTCCCAATCCTCCCCCACCATGCCCCCCCTTTTTCCTTGCCCCTTTTTCTTTTCATCTCTCTCCCCACTCCCAACTCTCCCCACCCTTGTCACCTGACCTTGCTCTTCCCCTACCACCCACTTTTCACTCAAGGCTATCATCTTGATCATTTCACAGAATGGCAGTGGTTTGAAGTGAAACTGGGTTTAGCGAAGAAAACTTCTGGATATTGGCTTTACTGGTTCCAAAAGAGTGTATGATCTTATACACAGAAAGCATTGAATTCTATAGATGTGGTATTCAGTGCTTGTGTTGCTAATCCAATCACTTTATCAAAAGCTTCACTGATGCTGAACATCATTTAGTTTTAACTCTAGTCTGACGTTAATTCTGGGGAGCAATCCTGAAAGATAAGTTTGTCCTGAATGTGAGAGTTGCTACTATATAGCACAAAGCTGTACCTAACAGCTTCATTGAACACACTGTTTTGTACTAGTGACCTTTCAGTCTGATCATTATGTGTCAAACCTTTCTCCTTCTAAATTTCTCCATCCTCTCATGGGTGTTATGAATGTGGGTTAATCTCTTCAGCCTGCAAAAACTGCAGGAATTCTCAGATAAATTTTTCTATAGTTTTTCTCTCTTTAGAACTAAATTTGAATAGTGTTCAACAAATAAATCTTGGCTCACTGAACAAAGAGGAGAAAACAAAACTGTGCTTCCTTGCTGAGCACTTCATGCTCTTAGTGTATGCCATGTGACCTGAGCCAGGTTCCATGTGGCAAGAACAATAGTTATGTACTTGAGCATTACTGATAGTCACAGATAAAGGGAATGACTAAGTAACTTTGAGTGCTTATCTATAAGGTTAGTATTTTAAGAACTGTATGTGCAACCTCTTTCTAAAGTGTGAGTGTTGGGGGGGAAAAGTGTGAGAATAGCATCACAAACCCCACAGTTAACCTGGTGCAGCCTCTTACATAAACGAGATTTTTCATGCCATTCCATTCAGCCCTTTGAGCCCTTCTCCAGGAATTGTGGGGGGACAGGGACTGAGCAGGAGTCTCCAGGTGAAGCAGGAACTTTGCTCAGAACTGTACTGCCCACATCCATAGGATCCTCTCTTGTGATCACATCTTTCCTGTCATGACAGAATGCTTGAGACAAAACATGCTCATGTCTTGTCCTCCACACCAGTTAAACCCCACGATGTCAGGAGCAAGTGAAAGCTGATAAGGAAAAGTTGTTCAGTAGTGCTGCATCTAGAACTTCAGTAAAAGGACAGTGTGTATTAAACTTTCACTGTACAGTATTAATGTATAAATAGCTTTCCACCCAGAATACCACCAGGCACTTATTGGGGTGTGAATCTGTATGCGAATTTCACATTAGGTTAAAATAAGAAAACTTTCAAATACTCTACTGGCTCATTAATTCTGTAGGTCTCTTACGTATACACAACTCAAAGTAGCTCAGTGTGTGTTCTGTTCTGACTTCTCAGCTTTTACCTCTAACATGTATCTTTTTGAATATGAGTAGCAAGAAGCCCCACACTGTGCATCCATGATCTCAAACAAGCACTTTGTCCTGTATCTGCTGGCACTGTTTAACATGCTGTACCTTTTGTTTCAGGTCTGTAACAGCGTGTTTAACAGCTGGGATCAATTCAAAGATCACTTGGTAATACACACTGGTGACAAACCCAACCACTGTACCTTATGTGATTTGTGGTTTATGCAAGGTAGTGAGCTGAGAAGGCATCTCAAAGAAACACACAATATTTCAGAACGAATAGTGACAGAAGAGTTTCTTCCAGTGGAAGCTATGGAAGCTGAACCTGTAACATCAATGACGATAATAGAACAAGTGGAGCAAGTCCATGTCCTGCCAGTAATTCAGGTACAAGTGGATCCTGCTCAGGTAACTGTGGAACAGATGCACCAGGATCTCATACAGGACAATCAAGTGAAAGGCACACAGATGGAGGAACTGCAAGAACAGGTGCAAATCAGCTACTTGGAAGTCGAACATATTCAGACTGAACAAGGCGCTGAAGTTCATGTGGAGCAGTTGCATGTTGAGCATGTAAATCAAATACAAATGGAAGAGGTACAGGCAGAACTTATAGATGGAACAGACCTTGAACATGTAGAGTATCAAAGTGTTAACCAAGGAGAAGTGGAAGAAAAGAAGTCTAATCAAATAGATGATGCAGATAAGGAACACCATGAACAAGCTGAAGACTTAAAACCACAACAACTAGTGGAGTCTCAGAATGAAAACATGGGTGACTAGGATGAAAACCAACACTGCAGGTTTTGGAATGAAATACCAAATTATTTTTGTTAACTTTTACATTGTTTTTTGAGCCGTCAGTGGCCACCTTTTCAATGTGATGTTCATAGGAAGCTGGACAAGTGGACCAAAATTAGCTTTCTTCATGTACAATTAAACTTCTCTCCTATGTGAAAAATAACTTTCCCATTCATGTAATGCCATGGAACAGAAACTACCACAGACACGGACAGCTTTGTGAGGTTTTTTTGCTATGAATAGCTTGTATCACTGTTACGTCATTCCTGGGCATATGTAAGAGCAATTTCACTTCTTTTCCTCTTGCAATAGAAGCAAACCCTTGCATAGATTTGCAGGGGCATCTATAGCAGGAGAATTTGGAAAATTGGATGGTTCTATTTTAAGTGGTAGTTGGACACCTGTGAATTTTTGGATCCTAATTTCAGGCTGGGCTAAAACCATTGTTGCTGGAGGTCTCTGAGCACAAAAATTATGTGCCTTTTCAATACTGACTGGTTAAGTTTCCACAAACTTTCTAGAGTTTTCAAGAACTTAGTTCTGTAAAAGGCAATGTAGGTAATGTTATAGTGCTTTATATTTTTGCTTAAAATTGTCAGTTACTGATTTTGCATTAAATCTAGAGGCAGGGGGCTGAGGGAGGGAGCAGGTTCCACATGGAGGCAGCAGGACATTCTAATAGGAGAAGCTTGGTAGAGTCTGTGATACATGAGTTGGAAGACAGCTACCAGCAGACACTCTAATAGGAAAAGTTTGGTAGAGTCTGTGATACACAAGTTGGAAGACAGCTACCAGCAGACACTCTAATAGGAAAAGTTTGGTAGAGTCTGTGATACACAAGTTGGAAGACAGCTACCAGCAGACACTCTAATAGGAAAAGTTTGGTAGAGTCTGTGATACACAAGTTGGAAGACAGCTACCAGCAGACACTCTAATAGGAAAAGTTTGGTAGAGTCTGTGATACACAAGTTGGAAGACAGCTACCAGCAGACACTCTAATAGGAAAAGTTTGGTAGAGTCTGTGATACACAAGTTGGAAGACAGCTACCAGCAGACACTCTAATAGGAAAAGTTTGGTAGAGTCTGTGATACACGAGTTGCAAGACAGCTACCAGCAGACTCTTCATTTATAAATAATAATTTTTAAAAAGGAATATGTTCTAACATAAATACAGATGAATTTGTCTACCTGGCATCAGGTTCCTGTCTTTTTGAAAGGAAATTATGACACAAAGATGTGCTAAACATAAAAGTAAAAGCCATAGGTGTGAGTGCTAAATCATGAACGGAAAAAGAGGAATGTAAATACTTCTCATCAATATTGGACAATAAAACAATACCAGCTATGAAATGTTGCATTATTTGTTTCATCCAATATATTACGAACAACTGAGTGATTGCCAATTACAGTGCCAGTTTCTAGTGGTATTAATCAATCTCATTTTTTATACAATTAATAGCTTTTTACTATAAAGTTAGATTTGTTTAGAGAATACTTGTCTATCTCTATGTTCAAGGGTGCTAAGAACTTCTAATTCTTAATCACTGCCTGAAGGTTAGAGGTGCTGCACACTTCCGAAAACCTTTATTTTCAAAGCCTTAAATGAAGGGAGGAATTTCTGCAACGACATTCCCTAATACTCTTATTAATCCTATAGGTCTTAGTTAAAATCAGGCTTTCCTATTCCGTCTTCAAATGCAGAACTATTTCCTGGGATTTCTGCTTTATTTAGACTCATTCAAAATTATTCCTGTGTTTCATCACAGCCTTTGAGAACCTGTTGCAAAACAAACACGGATCTCAAAGTTTCTAACAATTTGATTAACGTAACTTGCATTCTTTTTTCATTATGTCTTGTGTTTTCTGCAAAGCAAGTATTATGTGATGAGATTCTGTGCAGAGGGAAGAGTGTGACCCACTGCTAATCATGAAAGTGAAAGTTAGTTGTGATGTTTATACCTGGCAGCTTTGTCTTTTGATAACATGGGAGGGGACAAGCCTGGTTGCTTAGCTGCATAACTCTTACATGGTTTAGGTATTTGTGCATACAAAGTCTGTCTCTGTGGAGTTAAACAAATGATCTGACTGTGTCTGATCAATGAAACTAATTTTTAGGTAATTTAAACTATCTTTTAGGTAATTCAAGTCCAATGTAAATTGAGCAGTTCCATGGCATTGGTAGCAAGGCCGTGGTTTGGTTAAGCACAGTTGGGCTTTTTCTTGGTTCTGTTTGATCCCTTTCTAACAACAGTTCATGAATTTGGTAGGAGAGAAACGATGCTCTGCTGTTGTGCCCAGTAGTGCCCCATCCAGATTCCTGATGGCCCTTTGTGGGAGCATGGTGGGACCATGAGCAGTCCCTTCCTCACCCGAAGGACAGGGAGAAAGGCTCTCCTCATGTAATAACTCTTCTAGAGGGCCTTTCCCTTTGCAACTCCCCCCTCTTCCCCATAATTTCCATTCCAAATATGACTGAGGCCTAAATTGCTCCCACCAGTGGAGTCCTTTGTGCCTCCTTACTGCAACAGCTGATCCCGAAGGAGGGAAGGTTGATGGGGGAGTGGAAGCTCTGGGTGCTCTCTGGAACAGCCACACTGGTATCTTCTTTCTGCCCTAAATGTCTGTATAGACACACAGACCTCTCCAAGCTCCATGTTACCTACACACCATTGGAAGGGTTCTTCCCTCTAAATACACACAAAGTGCTGCTCCCTGAGCCCTGTGTTCTGCCTGCACTGGGCTGTCCCTTTTCACCATACTTGTCTGTGAGTTACAACACCTGAAGCCAGGGGCAGGGCCTAGCCTGTAGCTCCCGAGTAGATAGGAGGACCTGGTGTCCTGATCCGATTAGTGAGAGGTGCCTCTGCCCAAATTAAGGTGGAAACGAGACCATATGCCAAAGTCAATAACATGTCAGTAATACAGGTTTTATTTAACAGTAAATGTGAGGTAGAGAGATAGGAAGAAATAGAAAAGAGTGGGGGGTGAGAGAGAGAGGTCAAGCAGAAGATAGTCAACACCCATGGATCCAGCAGAGTCCTGCTGGTCCTTCACCCTGGGGTTGTCCCTGGTGGGGGTCCCAGGGTCATTGCTGTGGGGATACCACCTTTATACAGTCCAAATTCCAGGTATCCCTGGAGGCATGTTGCTAATTTACATTTTCCTAATTGAAGTGAGGATGGGTGTACCTTCATTTCCATGCTTTCTCCAAGACTTTCGGGGTGTGTTGGTCGCAGGTGCCATCTGTCCCATAACTGTGACTGATGACGTGTATGGGCAGTTTCTCCCTTTCACACCATTTGTCACAGTGGGTATTTTTGCACCGGGATGTGCTAACCAGATCTTGCCTCCACCAGGCCTAGAATTCACACCATCCTGTTATAAATCCCTTGCTCATCTCAGCTTCTCACTGGGGGTTTATTTTCCTATGGCCCTAACAGTTTTTGAGACAGATAACTGTGCTCTTTAATTCCTTACACCTGGGGGTGTCCCTGCTAGCCAGAGCTGTCCAAGGTTTGGAGCTGAAGGCAGTGATGGGGCTGGCCACCCCAGCCTGGTGCCCTCAGCCCTATCCCAGGGGCAGATGCAGCTGTGGGGTCAGACTGTCACTGAAGCTGGGAGGAAAACTTCTTAACACCAATGTAGTACTAAGAACAGGCATTATTCATTGTGGCACTGGATGCATAGGAGATCGCTCTCCTGAGCGTGCATCCCTATCTCCAAAATCTCCAGTCTTTTACATGCATAAATCATACATATTCAGTTATTTCCATACATACAGATTAATCATTTCCGCAGAGTCATTATCCTAACCCCTCCCCTCATTGCATTATTGTGCAAGCCCATTAAATCAAGGTGGGGGTGCCCACGCTCTGCTTTTGTGACCACCCAGCAGCTCAGTTTGTGAACTTTGGTTGCTGTCCCCATACTTTTAGCCCTTTTATTTCTTTTATTTTTAGTCCTATTTATTTTGCCTAGGGCAGGTGTATTAATCATAGAATCAGCCAGGTTG